TTTGGCCGGTTGATTTTGCTAATGAGATGACCATTTTTATTCTCCTTCAAGAAGCAACAAAACTTTCAGAATTGTAATTAATTTTTTTGACTCTTATCTTTTGCTAAGGTATCTCTTTTAACAAAACATCAATAATGCCGACAAATATTGATATAGAAATCTTTTTTTTAAAGTATAGTTTATAATCGAAAGTAAAAAAAAAAGTGAAAATTATTTGAACAAGAATTAAAACTGATTGTTTTGAAATTGATTTCAACTTAATTTCCTAATTGATCAATTGATGAAACAAAAAAGATTTCCTATGGGAACAAAAAGAGTTATTTCCAAAAAAGATATTAAAACCCATTTCAAAGAATGCGTTAATTAGTTGAGTGAAGATGATCATTACATTATTTTGTATACCTTCTAGCAAACTTTTTTTTTTTTAAAAAAAATTCACAACAACCTCCTATGATAAATTTCACATAGGAGAAATTTTAAAAAATGGAGGAAGTAATTTATTCGAACTGCAGGAAATATAATTTTTTTAAACAGTTTTGAAAGTTAAATCTATTGATAGTAGTATCATAGAGAAATAAGGCTAAAAAAAAGGAAATAATTTTAACTACAAATAAATTACTCATTAGCCATAGCTAAAGGTTGCATGAAATAGTAATGTTTTAAATAGAATTTGAAATTATTTGGAAAATATTTTTTTTTAAAATGAATATTCAAATTGCATAGAATTAACATTACATGACAATTTCTAAATTCTGATTATCTGTGTAATTTCTTTATTTCATTCGTTTCTTCTTTTTTTTTAAATTCCGAAATTTATCACTTGCATTCATCAATGAATGTCTGATTTTTCTTGAATTTGATATAAATTAGATATGCTTTTTTCAATTTTCTTTATTTATGCGAAAGATTGCTTTCCATTGGGCTCATTTTTATGATGCCAAAAATTAATAAATCATGGGATTCTTTCATTATTATCTTTTATACATTCAACAATTTAAATGGTTTGAATGGAAATAGCAAAAAAAGAAGGTGAAAAATACGGTAGAATAATGGGAATATCATGATTTTATCTAAGAATTGAAAAATTGAAAAACATTAAATTAATATTGGAATGTATTCTAAAGCATAAGCTGCATCAGATTGGATTAAAATTAATATTAAAATCCAAGAAAACAAATGAATGTGAAAATTATGATACGATTTTGAATAGTTATGAACTTCATGTACTGCACATTTTATTTGGTATAAATGAAATTCAAAAATTTGAAGCTAAAGAAAAAAGAAAAATTTGAAGCTAAAGAAAAAAGCTTTTTTAATGTTTTGTAAAAAATATCTTTTGATGTATTCGTAAGCTTACTCTTTTTTATGATGCTGAAATTAACACGAAATTTTTATTCTTCAAAAAAGAAACTACATTTCAATTAATAATAAAAACAGTTGAAAAAAGAAAAACTTGATTGTAAATGTTTGTTCTTTTTTTTTAAAAAAAATTCATATTATAAAATAATTTTTGCCGTTTTTTTGCCTTTTTTACACGCACATTAAAATGTTTCACTTCTCATTTATAGTATATGAACTTTACAATTTAATCTTAAAAAATAAAATAATTTTTGATATTTTCAATCTAAATAATTCCCATAAGATCTCTGATCAGATAACGCTAAAACGATCTCTGTGAACATCTATAATTTTTGTGATGTATTAAAAAAACTTTTGCAATTGTAGAGGATTGATCGTTTTAAAATTTCTTCAAATTTCCCCTAATTGAATATTTTTTTCACTTGAAGTTTTTTTAGGTTTTAGCATTTTTCCAATTTTATAAATCTTTTTAATTGTAATCCAAAAAATTTCAAACTTCTGATCTTTCTAGTAGTAAATTCTTTTTTTGTGGATATTAATAAATTTTGAAAGTAAAACCTTACAAACAAATAAATTTTAAACAAGATTTGCTATTTCTTTTTAAAAAATTCACCTATTTTCAGAAATTCTATCATGATTTCGAAGATATCAAAAAAATTTGACATTAGCAGGTACAGTATTCAAGATGTGATATTTCATGTTCCATAATTTAATTAAAATTACACTTCAAAAGTTGATCTTATACATACTTAACTTCTCATATTACATCCTTCTATTAATTTTTAATCAATGTTTCTACCAGTTGAATATTTTTAAGTAAAATTTCATTAGTAATTAAAAATGTCAATTTTTAGGTAAAAAAAATTTTTTTTTTGAATTATTGTTGCAAATTGCTGGTATATTAAGTAAATGAGCTATACTAATACCACTGAAAGTTGACAGTTGTAGAGTTTTGATTTTAGACAAAAAGTGAAAATGAAAGAAATGATTGAGAATGAAAATAATGTGCAAGAAATTTGTAAAATCATTTAATACATAAAATATGCATTGAACCGATAATGAATAATTGTTGGTTGGTTTAGAAATTTTTGAAAAAAAATTGCTTTTTGTAAAAGTGTGTCAATTTGTAAATGTGTAAATTGCTTTTGTTTACGATATGAATAAAAGTAGATTTTCGCTTAAAGTTTCTTATTTTCACTTTACGATCATTTTGTTGTAATCTTTCGAGTTGAAAAAAAGTATTTTTTGCCATTCATTTGTAAAACACTATCAATTCAATTCAATTCATTTTATTTCAAAAATTTTTTAAAAGAAATAAATTTTACAAATGAAATAGTCATCAATGCATCAAAATTTTACAAATTAAAAGGCAAATTAATTTGAACCAAAATTAATTTAGTTATTGTTCATTAGTTCTTTCTTATCAATTTCATCTGTCTCGCAAAGGATTACGATGTTTTTTTTTTCTTGATTACAATAAAGCTTTTATCAGTTATTGTTCAGAAATTTTCATTATCTAAATTAATTGAATTCCAGAAATTCTCCCTTTCTTCCTTATTTAATTTTGGCATTTCTGAAAAAATTTATTTTTGAATCTGCATTTTTTTGGCATTATTATTTATCATTCAGAAACAGCTATTTGTTGATATTATGCAATCAAATAAATATTCAACTAAAAGAAATCATTGATTTGAACTGATAATTTTTTCAATTTTCCTCATCTTCCAACCATGGAAAAAAAATTCTGCACAAATTTTAAAAATTTCTGGTAAATTTGACAGTTTCGAATTGTATCAAAGAAAAGGCATATCATTTTTCGTTTAACTTGTAATTGCTTGGATAATAGAGAATCAGTAATGATCGCAGTGGAAGTTTGAATCATTTAAATTAGTTTCATACTTGCGAAAATTCACATGGAATTTTCTTTTTTTTCTGGAAATTAATTATAATTTATTAAAATTTATTATCATTATTATCACTATTTCATAGCTTCTTAAAATTTAGCAAAAAAAGATTGAAATTAGCAATGATGTGTTGATAGATATATTTTGAAATTGCGCAACTGCTACTACGTTGTTGTGGATAAGCTTTAGTAGCTATCTTTGATTGCTTATTTGAACATTATCTCTCAAGTGATGCTAAGAGTGTAAGCTATTGAAGAAGCATAAGTTTTTTGTAAAAAAAAACAAATTTCTAAATTTTTAAATATTCTTTTTCATTGATTAGACTCATTGTAATTTATCTTAAAAAAACTTTTTTTCTAATCTACTTGTCTTGCTACTGTTTTATCTGTTTTTCCATACAATAATGATTGTGAAATGAAATTCCTATATTTTTAGTAATTAATTAATTTCATCGACTTTTTTAGAGATGTGGAAGATGGAAATTTAAGAAATTTTAATGTATACTTCATTGTTTTTTTGTGTAATTTCTAAACGAATCATTTCTTTTTTTTTGCTAAACGCTTCTTGCACATGTCAACACTTAAACGATGGCGTCGTTATTCAAAAAAAGTAATTCTTCCTTTTCTTCTTCTTCTGCTTCAAATATTTCATTCTATCAGCTTTATTTCTCATATCAATTGATCAGTTATCAATGACCGTTGTTTATTATCATCTGCTGCTACTGTATAACATTATGCATTTGTAAATTATTCATTAAGCTCACTTTTATATTTTTGCTTCATCGAATTTCTTCTTTCTTTACTTTCCCATAAAAAAAGCCATAAAATGATTTCTAGAAAGCTTTTTTCTTGTTGATCGAAAAGAAAGTAGAACTATATTTTTTTTATATTTTGTTGATTAATATTTGTGTTTTATTTTTCATTAGAAGAAAAACAGTGAAAAAATTGTTTTTCTTTCCTTTTTTCTGCAATGAATTTAATGAAATATTAAATGATTTTCAGTTATTCTATTCCATTCGATTTTAATTTTTTTTCCTCGTATTTACGACTAGAAAGCTTTATCCATTTTATTTTACTCGAAGATCAGAAAACATTATCCATTTTAATTTAATTCTACCTTTTTCGAACAGTAAATTTAATATGCTTACTTAATACTAAACAGGTATTCTATTTATATTTCATTTTATTTTTATCTGTTTTACTGCTATACTGCTACCTTGAATTTTCCGATATTCACCAGATGTTTTCTAGTTTGTTTTCTCTTCGGTTTGCCTTGATATTGAGATTGATGCATTAAGAAATTCATATAAATTAATGGTCACTTAAAGTTATTCTATTTTTAAATGTATTGATTAAGGTTATATTTATTGCACCAGTATATATATTGTTATGAAAAAGTTTATGAATACAATTATGAATGATAAAAATTGGATTTTAACAAGGAATACTGTAGTGGTAGGATGAAATTAGTTGTATACTGTAGCATATGTATTATAATTTTAGATCGATATCATACAAGTATTTGACATTTTGAAGAATATTATCCAATTGAAGCATAATAAAAGACTCAATTGAAAATTAAAAATTTAATTTTTTTTAAAGAATTTAGAATTAATATCAGAAATAATCAAATCTAAGAAATTCTTTTTATAATTTTTAAATTTTGCTTTTTTTCAAAAATATCATTTAATTTTCAGTAATAATATTATGTGCTTCACCGAATACTGTCCGAGAAATTATGCTTGCTGCATACGATTTGGGTATGGCAACATCCGGTGAATATTTTTTTATCAATATTGATGTTTCCACTGGGTAAACTTCTTTTTGCATTTCTTTTATTAATTTCCAATTTTCTTTTATTTGTTATAAACTGATTTCGTAAACTCCAGAATTCAATTTTAATTTTAAAAATAGATTTCAAGAAATTTTTTTGATAAATTACTTATTTCAATAAATTTTTGTTTCCCTTTTTTTACAGCATTTAAAATTTGTAGATCGCATGCGGAACGACCATGGATACGATCAAACGATACAACATCGTTGGAAAATGAGAAAGCAAAAAAAGCATATCAAGCGCTAAAAACAATTTCATTGAGGCGTAGTGATTTAGATGAATACAAAGATTTTGAATTACGTGTGAAAGAACGTGCTGAGAAAAAGTATAATTATTCCGCTAAAACGGGTAAAGAATATGAAGTAAGAATTATTTTTAGTTTTTGAAGAATTCATTAATTTAATTAAATTAAATTATTTGATGAAAAAAAATCTTTTTAAATTAAATAGCGAAATAAGTACCCGCATTAAAAGAAGAAGAATATCGATTGTACTTTTTTTCGTTATTTGAATTATTTTGAATTTTAATTTTTTTTTTACAAATTTGTTATATTAAAATGACGAATGTATATTTTATAGATGAATAATTTTATTAGCGCATTTTATGATGCGCTTTTACTTTACGCGATAGCATTAAATGAAACACTCAGTGAGGGTTTGGATCCGCGTAATGGACAGAATATAACGAGTAAAATGTGGAGTCGAACTTTTGTTGGTAAATTTGAAACTTTTTTTCTCTTTTTTTCTATCATTTGCTACCATATTATTGTTTTCTACCGTACTTTT